GTCAGTAAGATTTATTTTTTTAAAATATTAAAATATTATTTAAAAAAAATATTTTGCTGTTGTTTTTGAAGTAATACTTGCATTAAATTGATCAAAAGTGACAGTTTACATTGTTACAAAAATATATTTAAAATAAATGCTGTTCTTTTGAGAATCCTGAAAAAAATGTTTTCACAAAAATATTAAGCAGCACAATTGTTTTCAACTCTAATATTAATGTGAAATGTTTCTTGATCAGCAAATCAGCATATTCAAATGATTTCTGAAGGATCATGTGACACTGAAGACTGGAGCAATGACTGCTGAAAATTCAGCTTTGCATCATCAATAGATTTTTAAAATGTATTCAAATAGACACACTTAACATAAAATAAAAACAGTTAAAACAGTTGGTAACAATGATAATTTGACAGTTTTTACTGTATTTTTTATTAAATAAATGCAGCCTCAGTGAACATAAGAGACTTCTTTCAAAAACATCTATTTCAAGTTTTTCTCAGCAGTTCCTTGCCGTTCAAAGTGCTGTTTTAATTTTCTCGCTTTAACTAGAGGCTCCTGAGCTTCTAGACATTCTTTAAAGGCTCACTATAAAATTAATACAGAAATCCACCAAGGCAATTTTTACAACATGTCACCACACTGAGTCACATGAAGGCACCAATCACAAGAGAGAGCGCAGAGTGATATGAGAGATATGAAAGTAGCACTGGTATGCTGCCATGGAAAGCATTCAGTTTATTAAAACAAGATATTTGACCGCTGATTGCTTTATTAATGAACCAATCTGAATAAAGAATTCCAGAGAGCCAGTTACTTTGTATATATATATGGATGTAATGCATTTACAAATGCTGGTCACCTGGTGGTCACAATGGCATTTTCTGAGTTACTTCCCTACAGGAATAGTTCATACAAAATCCATTTTTCAAACATCTTTTTTGTTCCACAGAAGAAAATCATACAAGTTTGGAACAACATGAGGGTGAGTAAACGATGACTCTTTTAATGAAAGAATCTTTTAATTTTTGGATGAACTGTCCCTTTGAGGATTTTCAGAAAAATAAATAATTATTTAACAGATTAATACTTTTTCTTACTTTCATTTCCTTTTATTGTTGACCATAAAAATAGTTATTTAAAATGATAGAGTTTGTCATTTTGTCAAATCAAAAGAGCAGACACTTATTTCAATAACATTCCAGCTATGCTAATGAATAAATGATTGCGTTCAGGGTCATACCATTCGCACCTCATGGCATTTTATTCTGCACAAAGCCTATTATTTGTTTTTTTTTTAAATGTCCATTTCAGACAGAAAACAGCATGAGCATGTAATAGGGAGGAGGGTGAGAAAAACAGAGGGAGCGTGAGAGAGACGAGGTGGCCTAAAAAGTTATTTTCTGGGCACATTGATGAAAAGCATTATGCTTGCTTTATATATCCATGGCCATGAATTGAGTCTGAAAGATGCATGGTAACACAACAGATACACTCTTTATATTTGACAGTGGCACTGAGTATGTGAGAGTGTTTGCCTGTGTGTGAGACTGAAAGGAACTGTGTGACACTATGTGTTTGTGTGTGTACAAGGGGAGAGAGAAGCAGAGTAAAAGAGGCAGAGGGGGTAAACATGGACCTGGGAAACTTGCCTAAATCCTGCCTGTCTCACAGTGAGTTTGCTAAATGAATGTCTAATTTGCAGTGAAGCAGAGAAGAGAACATGCTGCGCCTTTCAATGAAAACACAGCCACCTCAATACAGAGATAACAGAGATGCAACAACAGGCTGAAGACGGCCTAAGAGCTAACTGATACACTGATAAATGTTGAATTTATGCTCAGATGACGTTCCTGTTACAGAGGAGGCTCCTGTACCGCCTCCTCCGCACCAACAGAGGGAACCATCTCCTGAATATTAACCATCCCTTATTCTGACTCCAACTCCCATCATCCCTCATACCTGGGACTGATCACTCACACCTGCACCTCATTACCCACACACACATTTAAGCCGCACTCACACACAGACTCTCTGCAAAGTCTTGATTTGCCTGGCTGTCATTTCTGAGCGGTCTACCCGTGTTTGTTTTCCAGGGTGTCCGCGGGTCCTTAAAATGTCTTAAATAACGTTTTCCTAATATAAGGCCTCAAAAAGTCTTAAAATGTCTTAAATTCGGATTCGATGGGTCTTAATTATTTTTGGTCTCATTGCCGCTAAAATATCTTCAGTCTGACGGACCTAATGACTAATGACAGACCGAAGATTTTTTCTTCACATGGTAAATTACTGCGTTATCAGAGAGAATTGCAGTAAGTTAGCAGAATACAGAATACAAGCTCGCACTGAGGCTCACTCTGTTTGTCTCGAGACTTCAGAACAAATGAGCGTGACAAACTCAGAAGAAACACACTGAGGTAAAAATTCTAAATGTTTAGTTTATTCATAACATGATATAGTTAAATAACACCATGACAAGTGAGCTATTTTACTCAATATTCTCACGACGCAAAAAAACAAACAAACATTCAAAACACCTACAGACTGCACGCACGCATTACGTGAAGTCTAGTGCGCATACGCATTTGCAGTGCGCTCTGCTTGATCACTGCATGATTCAGTCTATTAAAATACATTCAGAATGATCACAAATTGAAGACATGGGGGCAGAAAATGTGTATATTTATACTGAAGTTCACACGGAAGAGTGCCTTTTTTTTCTCTAAAAATTACCATATACAAATGTGATATTGATTTTTTACAACAATTCAATAAACTAGAAGTTTTATTAAGAGACTTACGTTTTAGACACCATATTGCCTGTTTTTGCACTATTTCGCCAACTCTTAAATTTAACTTGTTCAAGTCTGCAGAAACCCTGTTTTCATTGTGTTTGACCTTGGCCTGTTTCCTGATCTCCTGACTGTTCTCTGCCTGCCCCTACTCGGATTGTTCTCCTGGACTGTATTTGCTAGCTGCCTGCCCTGATCTCTTGCCTGTGTCACGACTCTGTCTCTTGCCTGTGTCACGACTCTGTCTCTTGCCTAGCCTCTGCTGTATTGTCTTGCCGGTATTCGACCTCTGTATTGTCTGACTATCCCAATAAAGCTGCGAATGGATCTAAACCCTTCTGATGTGTCGCAACAGTTCCAAACCTACATTATTTATTTATTTTTTGTCCATGGAGATTTTGAGGAAAATGTCCAGACTGCTTTTTTTATACAACAAGACCCAAGCTGTACTATAAAAAAGCCATATAAACATCAAATCATAAGGAGGAGAAAAAGTATTTTTTAGAAACTGATTCAAATATCATCACACATTTGGTAAGAACTATGATTGAAAGCAGAATTAAAATGTTTACAGATAGATAGATAGATAGATAGATAGATAGATAGAGTCATGTGAAAATGTTAGAACACCCTATTGAATTCCATGATTTCTGTATCAGGACATAATAAAAAAAAGTATCCAGTCCTTGGCAGGTCTTAAAAATTGGAAAATAAAACCTCAGATGAACAACAACACATGACATATCACACCGTGTCATTATTTATTTAACAAAATAAAGCCAAAATGGAAAAGCCATGTGTGACAAACTTAGGACACCCTATGATTCAGTTGCCTGTAGATCCACTTTTAGCAGCAATAACTTTAAGTAATCATTTTCTGTATGATTTTATCATTCTCTCACATCGTTCTGGAGGAATTTTGGCCCACTCTTCTTTACAATGTTGCTCCAGTTTATTGAGTTTTGTGGGCATTTGTTTATGCACAGCTCTCGCCACAACATTTCAGTCAGGATGAGGTCTGGACTTTGACTGGACTGCTGTAACCCCTTGATTATTTTTTTCAGCTGCTCTGTTTGCTGGTGTGCTTGGAATCATTCTCCTTATGCATGATCCAATTGTGGTCCAACTTTAGCTGATGGACGGATGGCCTCAAAGTTGACTCTAGAATAGTTCATGGTCAATTCAATGACTGTGAGGTGCCCAGGTCCTGTGGCTACAAAACAAGCCCAAAATCATCAGCCCTCCACCAGCATTTGTGACTTTTGGTATGAGGTGTTTGTGCTGATATGCTTTTTAGATTTTCACCAAACATGGCACTGTGCATTATGGCCAAACATTTCCACTTTGGTCTCTTCTGTTCAAAGAGTGTTGTTGCAGAAGTCTTATAGTTTGTTCAGATGCAACTCAGATGCTATCCCGCCATGTTCTTTTTAGAGAGAAGAGGTTTTCTTCTGGCAACCCTTCCAAACATGCCATACTTGTCCCATATTTGTCTAATTGTACTGTCATGAACTTTATCATTTAACATGTTAACTGAGGCCTGTAGAGTCGGCGGTGAAGTTCTTGGGTTGTTTGCCATTTCTCTGAGCGTTACACGGTCTGATCTTGGGGTGAATTTGCTGGGACATCCATTTCTGGGAGGATTGGTGTCTGTTTTGAATGTCTTCCATTTGTGAATAAACTTCCTCACTGTGGAGGAATGATGGACTTCAAATTATTTGGAAATTGCCGTATTACTCTTCCCAGATTGATAGCAGCAACAATTGCTTCTCTAAGATCATTGCTGATGTCTTTCCTCTTTGGCATTATGTTAACACACACCTGAAGGATCCAGTCCAGCGAACTGCCAAAACTTCTGCTTTTATTTACCACTAAATATTGTAGAAACTTAATTTTCTGTAAAGTTGCTTTTTCAAAGATTTGTATCGTGAAAAACGCTATACAAATAAACTTGAATTGAATTGAATTATGGAGGTGCTCACACTTGCTGATGATCAGATAATCAAAGGCATCTGATTAGCAGTGTCTGACTGTTACTTACCCTCTTAATTCCTATGTTAATAGTAAGGGTGTTCTAACCTTGTCACACATGGTTTTCTATTCTGGCTTTTTTTTTGTTAAATAAATAATGACAGTGCAATTTGTCATGTGTTGCTGTTCATCTGAGATTTTATTTTCCAAAATGTAACCAGATACGGTAGAGCCAAGAACTTAACAAGCTGCTTGACTGGTGTTCATCTGCAGGTTTGGCTCGCTCTGGTGGGCTAACAGCGGAGGCAATCTGACAGCCTGTTCTCCAAGAGTGGCCTTAACATTGAATCGTTCTACGAAGAAGTCAAGATAAAACTATTAAAAAAAGAAAAATGCAGTAAAACATCCTTCCCCAAGACATACAGATCTCAAGGCAAACCGAAAGGATTCACGGTGTGTTACTCACTTGGGTCTTGTGTTCTCTCCTCTTTTCTCTGTTCTATGTGCCCGTGTATGATCGCAAGGACGTTGCGCTGGTTGGTGATGATGTTTGGTTCAGCTATAACCTCACTGAGACTCAAGTTGCTCTTTATGGCCACTGAGGCTGTGGCTCGAGCCACCATGGGCAACTGGTCTTGATAAGCCTTATCTGTGAAATCTTGCTCCACCCTCTGGATGGTCTGGATTCTACAGGAAGCATAAAACATGACAAATGAAGACAAGGTGTGAGATTAATTAGTCCTTAACCTTTGAGTTAAGCATATGTGACTCATTATGAAATCATGGCTGCAAGCCAATGTGTGTATTTATATTACAAAGCATGTACATTGCAGGTGAAGGGGAAGTACATATCCTGCAAAACGTATCCTCCCTTTCATTTGAACATAATTTTATCTTTTGGAAATTAATTGTATCATGAAAAGTGGGCTTTATATACCAGAATGGAGAAAAACAAAATGTGAGTATTCGAAAGCAATGCCTAAAGTGCTATTTGGCTAATATTTGATTTACATTATCTGATGGGAATGTAAAATGCATAAAGTAAATATGAAAGCTCACCTTCTGTTGGTCAGGATGGTGTAAATCTCTTGCACAAGAAGCTCTGCAGCTCCAGGTTTACAGTGGATTGTGCCATCGATGACATCTTTCAACAGACTGATGCTTTGCTTCACAAAAAAACGTTTAAACAACCAAAGGTATATTACAGAGAAGATCTTTATTAAACAGCTAGATCTTTATTTAATTGGCATAGTTTAAGAAAAAAAATAGGCACAATAAACATATAAAGCCAAATTATTATTTAATGTCACTTTTATTATTTCTGCAGGGTATCAAGCTCACTCTCTCAATCTGGGACCAGTTGGATAGTTTGGCAGCCAGTGAAGCTCCGTTATCATAGGAGTGCATATGAAAATCCCTTGGGAAGTACCAGGAAAATATTTCCGCCACTATGTACCCATTGGAAAAGTCTCTTTAGTCAAAAAAGACAGCAAGGCACATTTAAGCACATTTCATATTTAATAAAATGCTTAAAATTGTGTTTATTTTTGATCCCAATTTGTCATATTTTTCATGAAACTAGAGGATCAATATGAACATTTTATTAAATAGCGAAATAGAGTCCTCTTTAAGAAACTGTAACTTCATATTTATTGTTATTGTACTTGATTAGAAAACTAAACTAACTAGCTATATATATAGCACTTTTAAGCTTTTATAGCTACAAGTGCAAATGTATTAAGATCCCCTAAAAAATGGCTCAAGTTTATGGGGCTGCAGAAATGCTGTTATCTTCTCTACTCACCTGCGCACGTTTTTTTGGGAAAAACGATAAATCAAGACTTTGTAGCCATTTCAAAACCTCTCGTGGTAGACCAGCCTTCTTAGGGGACTGTGAATAGGCCATTTCTAACTATAGATAACGACAGAAACGAGGAGCAGCCTCACATTTGTTTGACGAAGAGGACACATATCCTTTCTGTTTAATTGTATGGAAACAAGCTTGACTACACGCGCTGGAGTTGATGTGCTGCCACCTACTGGCAGATTATATGTTTGATTTGTAGAACATTTGACCTGGATGATTTTTTCCTTACTATGGAAGTCAATGGCTACCGTCAACTATTTTCAACTGGTTACAAACATTCATCTTGAAGGTGAGGAAAACATGACAGAATTTACATTTTTGTGTGAACTATCCCTTTAAAGAGACAATGAGTAACTGGAATTAGTTTTAAGACTAAAATTTTGCTGAAGTATATTTGATTTATTAAAGATAATCAAGATGGGCTACCAGTCACAAGTTTATTTATACACCAAGAACATCAATGGTAAATCAGAAATGGGAGACAATTATTATTAAATGGAAAAAGATAAAACAGATTGTATTATTTAAAATTATTAGTTATACTAAGTCAAACTATACAATAATACTAAGATGGCTTGCCAGCAAACATGATGATGTTATCTATATTGTAGAAAGTTCTTCATAGCTTTGGGGAGGGGCAAATGTGATAGAAGATGTAGTCGGGAATGTCCCAAACTCTCCCTGAATTGCTGACGGCACAGTTGACGCAGAGAACGGGCTGTCGCTGTAAAAGGAAGAAAACTGATACAGGCTGATGCAGTAAAACATGTAAAAGTCTAAATATCAGTGACTTTTGAGCCTATCATGCTGCTGCACATTTAACTCACCTTCATAAATCAATAGGAATCCCTCTGTAAGGCTCCCAGGAGGAGCAACCTCTACGGGACGCTTATACTCCAGGCTGTGTGCATTTACGTCTGCCCCAAATTCCAGCAGGAGCTTCACTATGCTTATACAGTCTTTCTGGGCTGCTGCATGAAGAGGAGTCTCCAAATTTGTACCTCTCTGCACATTTGCACCTGTGATGGTGAAAATTCAGTAACATAACACATAGCATAGGTTATTTTTCAAATATTAAGCATAACTTTAAGTGTGACCTACCTGTAGGAGTGGGTGATATATCAGTTAAAACAATAAATTGGTAGAAATGTAATATCCGGTATGGTGCCATGGTACAACAAATCATATTACGATACCTGTTTTTTTTATTTTATTAAAAACACTTATTTAGTCTGGCTTTTATGTAGTGTTTTACAGTTTTATGATTCTAGTATTACTGTTTATTTTATTTATTAACATCATTTTCATTTATTTCTACTGAATTTTGTTTGATCAATATTTAATTTTTTTGTTCCATTCTAACATTTTACTGTTTTATTATAAACTATTTTATTTTCATAACTTGTATTTTGTGTCAGTTGCTGATTTATGCCTGTAAAGCACTTTGAATTGCATTAGATTTGCTGAAAGGTGAGTTTGGTTGAAATAAAGTTTGACTGATTGAACCCGAGTTGTGAACATGAATTTGCATTCTGTGATGAGATAAAAAGTCATTTGAGTCGATTCTTTTTATGAACCGTTTTCACTCATGTTAACTGGTTTAAATCAGTCTGACACTGAATGAACTCACTGAATCCGTTAGAGCGGTTACTGAATCAACGCTTAATGAACTCCCCCTTATTGTTACTTTCAGCGTTGTCCATCTCAAAATGAATCTACTTTTTATGTACTTTAGGCTTGTTAAACTTAACTGTAATACAGGCTGGTTGCGCCGAACTGACCCTCTGCTAAAGTTGAAAAATTAAAAGTTGGATTGTCATGAAACTGCTGTTTGTTTGTCCGCACTTGTCAGCACAGTTAGATAGTGGTGTGAATTTCGACTTGTTTACCTCCATCAAGCAGCTTGCGGGCACAAAAGAACTCCTTACATCGACTAGCACTATAGAGAGGAGTGCCCATGTGAGGGATTTCATAGTCCACATCAACAGCCCACACAATCAGTGCCTCCACACACTTACTGTGGCCTTTGAACGAGACCATAAAACCATGTCATATTAAACACTTAGAGAGTCTATTAGCAAGTCAGCTAAGTAGGGCTAATTTGGATTTGTGTAGGACTATGGTACTTTAGTGCCAGTCTTATACCCACCCCTACTGACTGCCTCATGGATGGGTGAAGGCTGGCATACAGCCAGGGCCTGTGGTCTGGCGTCACTCTGCAAGAGCAGCTCTAGACATTCCAAACTGCCAGCTGAGCAGGAATTAAACAATGGAGTCACTCCATCTATAGTTGTCACATTAACCTAAACACACAGACATAGAATACAAGGCAAACGAACAGCATATTTCATGAAATTATATGAAAAATGCAACAGCTGAACACAACTTTTTACAAAATGCTGAATGTTTTATCCCGTTTTATGGCTTAAGTGTTTACCAAATTATAAGGGTTTGCTGTAACTCATATATTCGAATAGACAAAATAAAAAAAAAAAACATAACAATAAAAATATAATATAATATAATAATGACAAAATAAAAGATACAATGATTATATAAAAGTAAAAAAAAGAAAGATACAATTTTTCTAGAATTAATTGAATAGATAAAATAAAATAAACAGATAGAATAATATAATACAGTATAATATAATAATGACAAAATAAATGAGATAATGATTATATATATATACAAAAATAAAGATACCATTTCCAAAGTTGTAGATTAAACAAAGATAATTGGAGTGTTAAAAAAGAAAAAAAGAAAAAACAGAAATGTAGCATATTTAATGTGTTGCCATTTCTTTGTAATCAATTGTGAAATTTACTAGCAATTTCTGGGTGAAAATTGTTTCAAATTTACACCATTTTTTTTTTCGGTGTAGAATTTATAACTGATAGTTTAAATAATAATTGATAGATACAATAAAAAACAAATAATATAATATAATATAATATAATATAATATAATATAATATAATAATGCTGGAAAATATAATGATTATATAAAAATCTAAATATATTTCTAGACATAATAATAATTCAGTAGACATATTTATGCATATTATTATTAATAATAATAATAATAATAATAATCAGCATCATCATCTATAATATAATATAATATAATATCATATAATATAATATAATATAATATAATATAATATAATATAATATAATAATGACAAAAGAAAAGAACTCAGTAACAGAAGTCTAGGCTGTTTATCAAGACCTGTGAAATGAAAGTGTTACCAATCAGCCCTGCAGAGACTAACGTTGGCTCCGGCATCTATCAGGGCTCTGGCACAGGCAACATGGCTCCCTATGCACGCCTCATGAAGAGGGCTAATGTGGTCTATTGTCAGCACATTCACGCTGTGGCCCTGAGGACAGATTAAGAGAAATTAATACTGCATTAGAAAGTGTAGGATTTGTTTTATTCCAGATGGTGGCAGCAATGCCCTTCAATAGGGTGCATGGTGGATTACAGCGTTCACCTCTACACCAAATGTGTATTACATTACTTATCCACAGTGTTGGGGGTAACGCATTACAAGTAACGCGAGTTACGTAATCAGATTACTTTTTTCAAGTAACTAGTAAAGTAACGCATTACTTTTTAATTTACAAGAGAATATCTGAGTTACTTTTTCAAATAAGTAACGCAAGTTACTTTTTTTTTCAATTTATTGATTGACAGCTCTCCTGTCCCCATGTTGAGAGAAATCAGAAGATGTTACTGTAGTTCTATAATAATATGAATATGCATTAATTCATCTCACTTGCACACAAAAAAACACACAGATTCAGTATTCCTCAAAATGAATAAAAATAATGCAACTCAGACTATGACGCAAGACGCAAATAATTAAATGTTAAACAACACAAATATCCTTTATGTATTTAATCCCATTCTATTAAATTTACTTTCCCTTCAGCCTGAGGCTTATTCATTTCACTTTTGCTGTGAAAGGGCTTTGATATTTGCCAAAAATATAACTTTTTTATTTTAAAAACAAACAAGCAAGCCCTGTCCAGATTTTAAAAGTAACGCAAAAGTAACGTAACGCATTACTTTCTATAAAAAGTAACTAAGTAACATAATGAGTTACTTTTTTATGGAGTAACGCAATATTGTAATGCATTACTTTTAAAAGTAACTTTCCCCAACACTGCTTATCCAGTAGAGTGCATGTGACTACAATATATAAATACTACACATATTAATACAATTATGTATTTCTTATCTTACAGTTCAATTTAAGGTCATTTAAATGAGAAATTACCTGCGCAATGAGGGTCTTGAGAACCAGCAGTCGCCCTTGGCTGGCAGCATCATGAAGAGCAGAGCGGTCGGCCCAAGACCCTGGAGAAGAATAAAAACAGTAATTTGCCAAACAGGAAATTTTGTAATTTTCAAATATGAATACCATCTTATACATACACATACATACAAACATGCATGCATACATGGGAAGTCGTGGCCTAATGGTTAGAGAGTCGGACTTGTAACCCAAAGGTTGTGGGTTCGAGTCTCGTACCAGCAGGGATTGTAGGTGGGGGGAGTGAATGTACAGCGCTTTCTCCCACCTTCAATACCACGACTGCGGTGCCCTTGAGCAAGGCACCGAACCCCCAACTGCTCCCTGGGCGCCGCAGCAAAAATGGCTGCCCACTGCTCTGTGTGTGTGTGTTTACTGCTGTGTGTGTGCACTTTGGATGGGATAAATGCAGAGCACTAATTCCGAGTATGGGTCACCATACTTGGCCACATGTATTTTGAGCAGTGCAGTGAAAAGTGAACACTTTTTCACTTTTTTACAACCTAAGTAAATCTTTCTATTTTGCATTTTTCTAATTTATTAGAAAACATATGTTTTAAATGTTTGTTTAATTGTTTTAATAATAATGTTATACATTGAAATATATTTTATCTATTCAATTATGAATTCTATAGAAATATGGTGTATGTATATATATATATATATATATATTCAATTATAGTTAGTTGTAATTTAGCTGTTATAAGAAATTTAGTAA